TCACGGTGACATGCATGTCACCGTAGCAAAATCCTTCATTTTAAATTTTCTATTCAAAAATTGGTTTGGTATCAAGTATTCAAAAGAAAATTCTAACTAACCAATAAAAATGATGTTTTTCATAAGTCCAAATGATTATTTTACAATAAAAAAGTAGAAGGACCAATTATGAAATTTAGAAAACGGAATATTCCAAGAATATTCTATCAACTTTAACGGAATGCACTTAGAAGGAAACTTAAGTGGTATTGGGTGCACATATAATAGAGTTCAGTGATACCCGATGTCCTATTCAAACTTAAATGGTATGACGACTCTAATTCTCAAACTTAAGTGGCACCCGATATATTTTACCCGACAATCTTATACAGCCAATTAAACTGTGAGAATTTACAGCTACATATTCAATCTATTGGGTGTACTACAGAATGATAGTTTGTCGCTAGCTAGCAAATTCATTAAAATAAAATGAGAGATAAAACTTGATCGAACATATGCATGCACCACGCCATACCACTACTAGGCTACAAACTTCAAGTGGCCCACCAATGTCCCTCTTGTCCATCCTAAAAGTCTTCACAACATCCGATATCAATATTTGCGTTACAGTACTACTATTTATTATTGATTATTATTATCAACATTAATGAGAGCTTAATTTCATATGGATCCTGACTGGCTGAAGGCGTGAAATAGTAAAACTGGCCAGCCTACTCCAAAGATGTGAATGTTAGATTCCTTCATGTACACTTTCATGCAGGAGCTACGACATGATTTTGTCAGTAAATGGGTGTAAGATTCACCGTAATTGAATATCTCCCAACAATTCGAAGTATTGGAATATATAAAATGGTTATTAACATCATATCAAACAAATCTGTCAAAGTTCAACAACCGAGAAGTTTTGTGTTGGAATCCCGATGACCAACATTTGTTAAGTACGAGATATTCAGACTTGTACGAACTTCGACCACATATGTGTCAACTTTCGTTTGAGGGCACATGTTAATAAACTGCATAAGATCCATAATTGAACATGTACCAACAACTCAAACACATATGTTATAGTGAATGATATAGGTTTGATAATTCAACCTCTTTAAATGGAATTGTTAGAACCATATATAAGTTGCACATTAGTAGCCTCCCCTTCTGCCGTTATGTGTCTTGAAATCCAGTGCTTGTTGTGCTGTTGAAGATTGCGGCTTTCAATCATGGGACTGCAGCAATAATAATAATAACACTGCCTGTCTTGGGAACTCACACGCCCGCCCGCTCGCCAATACAATGAAACAAGCAATAGCAATAGCATGCATGAACCCAAAAAACACATCACATCACATCACATGCACAATGATTAATGGTTTCTATTTTCCGGAAACCAGCAGCTCATTGCAAAGTGGATTCAGGGATTCCCCCACTAGTCTAGTTTGTCTCGATAAATACATATTTAAAGAAAACAGAGGTACCCATTCTTACCAAATTTATAAAAAAAAGGAACAGAACAGAAAATGAGAGCTACCTACCTATATGTGTATATATGTGTTCTAAAATATACTTTCTAACAAAAATACGATATCAAGAAGGTGGTTTTACCAAATTTATATAGATTCTGGTTAATGTGATCCTCATCATTTAGAAAGTAGATGATGGGTATTCTATTTCTATGTTTGCTCACATTCCTGTCATTCAATATATGATTCACTTCTTCCCTCAAGAATAATATATGATTCACTTCTAGCTAGGGGAATTACCCCATGGCTATATGTATACTGCCAAAAGTAAATTTGCAGCAAACCATCCAAGCCCAAGCCCCAAGTGCCCAACAAAAATATCAAACTCCTCATGGTTTGCTTATCATTGATCTTCCTTATGTTTTCTCAGTCCATGACATAGTCAGGAATTTTATACAATGAATTTGATGTAAAAAAATATATATAATTATGTTTTACCATGGGACAACGTGTGTTTTCGTATTAAAAAAAAGAATTTAGAATACATCCATCATGCAATATCATTCTTAATGTACCCTACCAAAACACCGTTCACAATTTCATTACTCATTTCAATTTTGAAGCATGCTCTTCACTTGGTTTCATGCAGAAAATTTGTTTTAACACTTGCAATGACAATTGGTAGCAACGGATAACATAAGGGTTTGAAGTTTCGGTTGTAGAATTAAATATTAATGAATAAATATTGATCAGAAGTTAAGAAAGAGATTACAAAGCTAGTGTGTTACTTGAAGTTGTACTGGAATAAGATAGGAGGTTTTTTGTTCAATCCGCAGTTACGACGATATATATACTAGTATTTTTTAGACCAAAGTGATGTAAAGGAACTCAAGTTGCTCCACCATAGTTCTTAGCTACTATAAGGCCATCTTAATACTTCTTAACCTCGATTAATAATAAAGGCTAAGGTTTTTTATTTTGTTAATAATGAATGACATAGGTTGATTTTTATAATTAGATGCTCTTGAAAGTATTTGAAACTGGAATTTTCCAATTCAAGACTAGTAGTATTACCACTAGGCCAAACCCTTCTTTACAAGGTTATTAATTTTTTTGCGAATAAGAATTTCATCTAATAGTATTATCGTTGGTTTTCAATCGATTTTCAATCTAAAAAATATATATATTTGAATTTCTTAACTAACACTTAATAATAATTATTATTATTAAATTACATAATATGAAAAAAAAATTGATTCCATTTGTTTTAAAAGAAAAGAAGTGAGAGAAGAGAGAAGAAGGTGGGGAAGTCACAATCAAGAAAAAGCCCTATTAAATTGTATTGTTGTTTGGTGGATGTCTTATTTTCAATGGTGGGGTAAGTGAAATAGATATCAACTTTATAGTAATCAATTTAGGGGCCGAAAAAAATAAGAAGAAAATATTGATCAAGGACAAGTGGCTTTTTTACTTTTTATAGGCAATTTAGTTGAAATTAATATTAATATATTGGCCCTCTTTGAAATTGAAAGGGACACTTCAGTCTTCTTCCACACCCATCGGCCTCACCCCACTTCTTCAGCTAGCCATGGCCTTCTTTTCTTTATATTTTTCAGGCTATATATCGATCGGCTTAAACGGCTTATGGATTCGGCTCAAGATCAACAATTTCAATTAATATTATTATTGTTAATTTTTTAGTATTTCTTTATGGGATAAGATTTTTATTTGTATGAGTGCAGTATGTGCTTACTGACTATTGGTACATAAACGAATTTCTTTTTTTAAGAGGACCCCTTGTGTCCAATGAGCTGTCCTGCGCTATGCTAGACTGACTGTGTTTGTTTTATTCTTAACAGAGAGGATACAGACTAAAAAGCGGTGTGACTGTTAATCAAACGGTTTAATTTATGATACTTTTAAAAGTGTGATTTATGTACCATAATTTGCAAGTCTAATGTTAATATAGCTACTTAAAGATAGTTGCATTGTGTATCTCTACACTCTAAGTTACGAGGGAAACATTGTGTTGCTATTTTGTTCAAGTCGTCATGGTTGTATAAGTTTAAACTTAATTTTTGCTCAAATACTAATATCGGTGGATCGGTGTGATGTGGATGTGACTCGATTTGTGTGGTTTGCTCAGTGGTGGACTTATAAATTTTATTTAGGGGTGTCTTATTCCGAATTTAAATTTAAATGATAATTTAAATTTTTTTTAAATTACAAAATATTCAATCAGTACAAGTTACGATGAAATATCATGACGTGTTTTCATATTGTAAAAAAATTGTAAAATGCACCCATTCACTGCGACACACCACAAATCATTTTCAATATAGTATAATGCCCCAAAATCCGGTTAATTAATGATCTAAATAATATATTTTAATCGACGTTTGCTAGCTTTAACCATATATATAGTTTAGGCTATTGTACGTTTATCGTAACGCTAACTTATCGTACACTTATCGTGTGTCGCTATTTAGTCAATGAATTAACTGTAGTTTGGAACATGATACTACACCATAATCTCTAATCAGTGAAACTCGGTCCCTACCTCTCCAAACCCAAATAATAATATATATTTAATCAAATTATTAAAATAAAAGATATATTGATAACTCATGTTATATTGAGTGGCTTGGAAACTAGAAGTAGTGATGGCAATGGGGCGGGGCGGGACAGGGCGGGTACCTCAATTCCCATGCCCCGCCCCACGCTACTACGGGGCGGGCGGGGCGGGTACGAGGCGGGGCGGGTCGACCCATTAGCTCTTTCTGAATCAGTTGTCAACAAAAACTTCTCTCGGGGAGGTGGGCACTAAGAATGTGACTCTAACATGTTATTCAGAAAAAATACATGCAAATTTTTGTTTTTACGATCAAACGAAAAGGAAAACACTTTGTGGATAAAAAATAGTGATAATAGAATGAGTAATTGAGTCTAACAAGTTGAAAGATCGACTCTAACTAGTTGAAGAAAAGTCAAAATAGAAGAAATATGTATAGATACTGTAAGAAATTGAGATAAAATGGGTCTAGAACGGGGCGGGGCGAGTCGGAAATAGATACCCATGCCCCGCCCCCATGCTACTCGAGTAATACCTGTCCCATCGCGGGTCAGGTTGAGTAATACCCGCGGGTCGATTTGAAATTGCCATCACTAACTAGAAGCCATTTGTTTGTTGAATGCTCTATGTATACGGTCTATCCTTCTTATGGTATTGCAAGATCACACACCACCAGTATTACGAGATTGGAGTATTCTGTTGCAATGGTGTGTGAACAAATAGAATGGTAAGTCAGCTAAAACATTTATTGGAAGAGCTTTATGGAGTGTGGTTATGATGCCTTGTCGGTGCAAGCATCGCGTAAATCATCGAGAAAAGAAAGAGAGAAAGAACTAGAACGAGATTATGGGTTTTTATTCTTCATTATTCATTGATTGATTAAAACATAAAGATAACATACATATTTATAGTAGAACTGGAAAACATAATCACTTACCAATCTTACAAGGACATGGTAACTTACTCCTAAAGAAACTACCTTAAACACTTTAATAATTAATACGATTCCTCAACAGTAACTAAAACCGACTACTAATAATAATAATAATAATGCATAAGGTTGTAAGTCTGATTTGGATGGAACCTTGCTCTATATTGTATGGTTGTGCAGTAGCTAGTGAGAAGTCCAAGTCAATTAGTACACGACACTCAACGGATTGTAAGAGCCAAGTGCCAGATTGACCAGAATTTACTTAGTTGCCTTGATTCAATGGGATTGGGATGGTAAATATGTTTATATTAGTACTGCTAGGTGGCGATCCTCAACTTCTTATATTCTTCGACCAAAGAACCACTCAAGAGCCCTATAGCCTTTACCTTTGCCCTGTAACAGGTTCTCCTCTTAACCTCCATGTTGTGTTTTAACTTGACCTCAGCAACGATCTGGTCCGGTGCCCATTCAGGATTAATCCTGAATCGCTCAAGCATATCTTTTGCTATCCACTTCGCAGTTAATTGGTTAACTCGTAGCTGCCTTGAACACGAGTGTGGTGCCCCAACTTTCCTCACCATGAAACTTCGATCCTTCCTAAACCAGCTGGCATACAGCCCCCACTTGCAGTTGGGTGCCTTGCACTTGACCTCCCTCCTTGTCGGGTTACTCCTCAACCACCTAATACTTGCACCGGCTGCAATAGAATGCTGGATTACGGCATCCTTGAACTGCTCCGGACTCTCAAACTTGTGTTTCACCATGAATTGTAGGGATTTGTGGTCACAGTTAGGGTCATAATGTGGAGCATCATCATAAGGTTCACCACCGTTCTCCTCAGACAAGTTGAGACGCACATGATCAGAATTCTCGGACAACCTATAACTTGAATGATTCGAACCCTCTGGTCTATCTTGCTCAGGCCGAGAAGGATGCTGGTTGGAAAGGGAGGGATTTGTTGCATCATTCCCTGCATCAATCCCTTCTTCCTCATTCACATTCCCTTCATTCACATTGGCTGCCTCATCTCCTCCTTCCTCTTCACTTTCAGAAGACAATTCCTCAAAATCATCTAACTGCTCCACCTCCTCACCATTAGCAAGCTGTCTGGCCTTAACTTTCCTTTTTCTTGACTCTCCATATGCTCTTAAGTTGGCCCTTGCCTCCAAGTATTCATCATCAGAGGTAAGTGCATCATCAGAATCCTCCACGTGGTAGATATCTCGTGCAACAGATGCATTGGCATCATCTTCTGGTGACATGTAATCTTCTTCATCAATATCCCTGTCTGGGTCATTCTCCCCAATCAACTCTTCCCATGAATTTGACATCTGTACACAAATGGGTCAACTAAGTGATTATCTGCTAATTAAAAAACAAAACAATAGATAATAAACAATACACAAAGCACAAAGCACAAACAGACAACAAACAAAAATAAACAATGTGATTCAGTTCACTACTTCTACTTGAATGAGTTCATTCACTGTGAATTGACCATTTCATCCACAAGTTTCAGTTCTTTACCTCACGCTTTAAGGGTAATCTCGTGACAAACAGAAGTTGTGGTCCCTGGAAGTAATTGCAGTGTCGCTTTCTCACCAAACTCAGCCCTATAAATTGCAAACATCTCGAGGTTAATCGAGTTTCCCTTCTTCTCACCAAACTCAACCCTATAAATTGAAAACATACCATATAAGAGGGTGAGAATGAACCAGTCCGACAATAATCGAGTTTCCCTTCTTCTCGAGCTACCGAATCTGAGCTAGGGTTTTCCGCCAATCGTCTTCTTCACCGCTGCTAGTAGGGATTGGCCGTTGTCGAAGTCTCTCCCTTCACCCACTCGTTCTTTAGGCGTATAAAAGAGAAGTCGGGTCGGCGGCGTTGGTTTTATCCGCCGTCGGGATGCATGCTGGATTTGGGAACAAAGTCGCCCAGATGAGAGGAAGTGGAAAGGACGCGCAATAAACGAGTCGCGACAGGCAGCAGTCGCCGGAGGCTGCACCAAATCGTCTCCGTCAACGGTAGTGGGCCGTCGATTGGAAAGAATGGGATCGGAAAGAAGGGAACGGGTTTCGTCGGGTGGAAAGTGAAATTGGTAGGGTTAGAGATCGACGAAAAGGGGCTGGGCGAAAAGGGAGGGGCCTTTTTGTTTTTTATTTTTTTTAAATAAAAAAAATTAAAAATAATCAATTCCATCTGGCAACAATAGCGTTGGAGACGTGCCACATCAGCGAGAACCGTTAGCCTAGTCAGCAGTTCAAGTTCGTCCGTTAAAGTATTAGACGGATTGGCTATTTCTCTGTATTTTTCAAAATTTGGCTATTGTTGGCACAAAGTGGAAAGTTGTGGCTATGCGAGTGTATTTTGCCAAAAATCTATCTAAACGAAAAAGTATACTAAATTGAATCCAATGTAAAAGTAACGATGAAGATATATATTATGTCTACCTAAGAAATAATAAAGTAAGTCATGTTTCTTAGAGACCTCTCTCGATAGAACCACTCTATGATAAAAACCATTTCGTCAAACAATTGTATCATATGAGTTTTAACTTAAAAATTTAAGTGCTTATAATTAGCTATTTCAGCTCATAAATGAATTAATTATACCATTTGGTATAAAAAAATTATAAACTTGAGAGTTATTTTGCTTGTTGTTAAATCATTTGAACTGAAGTATGAAAGTGCTTCAGAACTGTTACTTCATTCATCATTATTAAAAATTACTATTTTCATTACAACGTCTAAGCGTGTCTAGGCGTGCTAGGAGATAGACAAATGCCCAATAATTATAGCAAACTTTGAGAGCATCTTATAAATTTGATCACTTCTATTTGGTATAATTGATTACATCCTGAAACTGATCAATCAAGGAGTCTTTCGATACGATTTTGATAAGATGTACCCTACTGCACAATTAGCATGACTAAATTGTAATAAGATAATCATGTATTGAATTTTAATTGATAGCGGAAAAGATCGTACTAACTCAAGTAGAGTTTTAGCTACTCAGTACTTCATATTCACATGTAGATAGCTACTTCAAAGAGTACAAATATTGATTGAGTTTGTTGAACTTTACCTAACAAAACTATGATATCAATCGCAAGATATGATGCTTTTTCGAGAATTTGTGAGAATATGTTGGAGACATCAAACCTAACATGAATACCGTTGAATTTAAGTAATAAGCAACATTCATAGTCAATAGATTATACATGAAACAAATATTTATCATTCCCATAAGTTGGTAGGAAGCAATGAATAATTAGGAATGGAAAGCTAGAAACATAGTTGATTTAACAAATAACTGCAAAAAATATTGGAAAAAATAAAATAAAATGCTTAGACTGTAGGCATGAGAGTGTTACATCAAACCCTCAAACAGAAAGCAAGTAATCATTAATTGTTAGCTATGGATATTGAAATAGTTTACTAAGCTGAATACTATATACTGCTGATTAATTATTGGACCTTAGCTTGAACATTGCATCATGTTGATAAAAATTGTTTCATTAATTACAATGTTGAAATAAGGGGTTGTATATGGAAGTCTTGATTGTTTTTTTTTTTTTTTGCATTGTTAAAATAAATACATTTTTCATGTACAATACACATGTTTTTATTTTTGTTCATACACAATCGTGAATTATTTACTTGCTTTGACTAAACTATCACTCAAATGGAATGATTAAACAAATTCAAATTGCATAGACTGTCGAGATAATTGGTATCATTGTTTGTAATGTCTATTTTTCTTGAAATGTATGGTACCAATGTTCTTATTTCGTCATTGAACACTTCATTGAGCACTTCAATTCAATGCGCAATATTCCAACCAATGATATTTATGTTGAGATTTTAAGATTATCCTTCATTTATAAGTTAGAAAATTTTCTAAATTAATTATTAAAATATGAAAATAGAATTATCAAACACCACAAAATACTTACAGGAGACTTAGCGGGCTAACAAACCGTGATAGAAAAGTACTCTGTATCATAATTTTAACTTCCTCTATGTTTTGTATTAATAAAGTACAACAAATGTGTCTAGTCTAATTGGTTATAATTCTTGTATTTGATGGAAGAGACCATGGTTCAAATCCTAGCATTGATATCGTCAAATCCTAGCATTGATATATTTTTATATGAAATAAAAAATTAATTGTGTAGACGAAAATACTCTTTCTACTTTCACTCTCCTTGCAGGAAATTTGAAATGGTGCAAATCAAACTCTTTAAAATGTATTATATGTAGTGTAGATAAGATGAGATGTATAATTGCATGAAATCTCATTTACAAACAAAGAGATCTTAATGTTTGTCTTCAACTTATTAATCAAATCCAGAAATCGCCCCATCACCAAGTATATAATATGCTGGATTATTAATTAATTCATTCGTTGATCGGGGACCATACACCAAGAGGGAAATAATGGTTTGTTTAACATCACCCGTACATATTGTCAAGCGGAACAACCAATACATTTTGATTTCTCTTTTTATAAACAGACATCGTTCAACAAGTGCATGTCACTTATGCCCCCATAACATAAACAACTAAATATGCCGATCCAAGAATTATTCCCTCTGCAAATTTTGAAAAATTCCCAGATTATACAATTCCATATACCTTTTTACATCTTTCTTCCCTATAAATTTTGGATTTTTTCCAACGCATATCAATTATAATGATCTTCAATCCAAATATCAGGTACATAACCATTCACCCTTATTATTCAACATAACTCTCCTTCATCTCGATCCAACAGAGTTCCAAAATACCATCAAGTAATTTAGATCGATTAGCCATTTGAATCATACGTTTTGCTTTTTGTGGGTGTAAATCACCGGTGAGTAAAGGTGCTTACGAAACAAATCATTCTTTTACTTTATTTTGAATCATTTACCATCATGACTGTATCGTTCATCAGAAAGACAATTTTATCTTTGTTGAAATAACGAAATCTCCATAATATACAATGAAAAAAATAGGAGCAAAGGAAAATAGCCATTAGTACGAAGAAGGGGGGGAAGAAAACGTTATGATTTTCTTAGTGACTTATTTATCCATGTATTTATTTACAACAATTGATGAACTAATAGAAGCATAATTATTTATGTTTGTGTTAGATTAGGTCTGGATCCGCCGACTGTCGGGCTTGAACCCACAGCTCTGCCGCGTTCATAAAAGGCGCTACATGCTCTGCTCGTCCGGCGCTATATTTTATGTGCAAAAAGATGCTACTGTGACAGCGGACCTGATTAGCACGGCCATGTGTATAAATTAAGACAAGTTGTTGAGAAACCAAACCCTAGGCAGCTACATGGCCATCGTGGAGTTGGGTCGGATTTTGCCAAACCCAAACCCATGGATTTATTCATCAAAAACTTCCGAGTAAAATTTATTGGGTTTGGAAAACCCCAATCCAACCCGCTGGGTATCCGCGGGTTCATGGGTACCCATGGGTTTTATGATAAAAAAATTTTACAATAACAAGTTCATATCAAAATAAAATTCAAACATCAATTTCCCCTACAAATTATCCATACATAAAACACCATTCTAGAAAATTCAAACATATCACAATTACACTAAATAAAATCACATGGAATATAAGTGTAGTGCGAGTTAGATTGGAGGAAATTAGAATTAGGATAGGGTTTGGGGAGAGTAGGGCGACGAAATAAGTGTGAGCGGGTATATATGGGTCGGATACCCCTAAATCCAAACCCAACCCAATGAATAGTGTACGAGTTTAAATCCAAACCTGATCCAAAACCCGTTAACACGAGTTTTACCCGCGTTAACCGAGTTTGGTCGAATAGGGTCCCTGTGAGTTCGGATTTTGTTGCCATCACTAAGTAGATACGTGGGTATAGTTTGCTTTTCCTGGGAATGGGTTGGTATGCGTAGCAATCACCCAAATAAGGGCAACTTTACTACCAACGTGAAACTGCAAAGTAAGTATGTCGTTCGAAAAAGAGTTTGTGAAAAATGATGATTTTTTCCCCCCACTCCTACCTACATATATACTTTAATCATGCAAGTTGTTACTTATAGAACACCTACTACTATGCAAAGTGTTAGGAAATTGTGAGGTCACACTCCATGGAAAGTTACGTTTCCCACTTAAACTAGTGTCTTAATTATATTGAATATGAGTAGGATAAGTTGTTTGATCACTAGGGTCTAGGATTTATATATATAAATAAAAGCTTGCTGAGCATAAGCATTTATTTGGTTGCTAGATCGTTGTTGCATTCCTTGAAGGCTATTTTCTCGTCTGTGGGAAGGCATATGTGCCAAAAGCATGAGAGGAAGCAAAAATGAGCAAGTTATGGGCCCTCAGTTTTCTAGTATTGTGCACTTCCGTAAGCCCAATTGCTACATAAACTCATACCAGTCTATACTGATGGGCCTACCGATCCCAACTGAGCCCTGTTGACTTGCTCATGAAAAATGGACGATTCTTTCACGATAGTTGGGCCTAAATGGGCCTTTAATGCCCATTTTTAGAGCTCCTCTCTTCTTCTAATCTCCAACAACAAAAACTCAAATTTGGAAAGAGTTGGCGGCGGCGGTCTACCAATCCTCAATCGAATTTGGAGCCATGATGCCGCCGGTGGAGCAAGGAGAAGGTACTGAAACTGCACACAAACCAGAGCAAGAAGAAAAAGTAGCTGCAGCTCAAGAATCACAACCTGGTTTACGCGGCGAGTTGGCGGCGGCGGCGACGATGAAACCTTGGGAGCAGCACGCAGGGGTCATCAGCTTGCCCCGATACGATTACAAAGCTCCATCGTCGCTTCTTCACCACTCCCACTCTGCCTTCCTCATTACCTGTTCAATAAGTACTGCTCTCCTGCTTTCCCTTCTCTTAAGTTTCAATCGGGCCCAATGTCTAGTTCTCCCCTCCCGCCGACCTAGATGTCTTCTCCCAATTTTTTGAATTAGGTTTTAATTTCATGACATTGTTCTTTCATCGCTGGTGTGACCAGAAGCTATATGAATTTGGAGTTTTCAAGAACTGATTTCTGTGGATGGCAATGTTCGATTGGAGTTTTGAGTCCTAACGGTTCATTTCTATGTGCTTTACAGAGAGGGAAAAAAGTGCTACCAAGGAAGTCATGTCCATCCTTGACAAGGTTTTTTCCTCACTTCAAATGGTTCTTCAGAAATTTTATATTTTCTCTTCTGATGCTTGATGCCTAAGTTATTTCATGTTACCACGCCTTTCCTAGTATAGTACTGTAGATCAGTCAGCCTACAGCCCTACATATCTAGACTGAGCTTTGAATTAATTTTTGTCAAATTCTTTTTGCAGTGTGTCGGGATCAGTAACAATGGTAACCCTAACGATGTTGTCGAAGCTCTAGCTCCAGATGTAACCAGTAAGAGAAGAAAAGTTTCTGAAGATGAAAACTTGACCGTGGAAGTTAAGAACCAGGGCAGTGCTGAGGAGAAAGGTACTGACTTTTAATCATGGAAATTTTGTGACTATGGTTTTGAGAAGAAAAGGTTGCTGTTCAATAAAAGCACTTGAATGATATTAGTGACAGGCGAAGTTTCAGAAGCTACTCCTCCTGTTCTTTCAAAGAAAGAAACAACTGAAGATAAGGCTTCTGTTCTTTCGCTAGTTAAGCTGATAAAAAGTGGTCTGATCCTCCTTATCTTTCCTGGAGAAGCTTCTTTCGACACTGTCGATGCTGTGTCGAAGATTTTCCTCGACATTGAATCTGGGAGTTTGAAGCCACCAATGTAAGTTCCTGTTTTTCTTTTTGCCTTTTCAGTAACTGAAAGTTGTTTTACCATCATGTTTATGCCGTTCCTTTTGGCATATTTTATCACATTTTACTCCATTGAAGGTGAAATGAAATGACATATTAGTGCAGCTGGTGTCACCGTATATTCCCGATCCAAGCCACTTGTTCCCTGAATGAGAAGGACCTGCATGCAGTTGTAAAGAAGCTTGTTCTTGATTTCTTACATGACAAGCAACACAAAACTGCACATCCACTTAAGGTACTGTTTGCTATGCATAATTATTAAATAACTGATGAATTCTTCCCGTTAACCGTAGGAGTGAAGTTCTGTTCTTTTTCCTTTCTTTGTCTAGTTTGCAGTTGGTTACACCAGAAGAGGAATGGAAGAGCAGAAGATATTTGCAAGAGATAATATGAAGGATTCAGAAGTTGTGTCAATGTTGGACAGGGATAAATGTTTCCGTGTTGTTGCTTCTGCTGTGAAAGAAACTATACCAGACTCCGCCATTGACCTGAAATGCCCAGATGTAAGAGAAAACTCTTTCTTACCATGTCTGTATTTCGATAAATTCCTGTGTTCTAAGGGAGTGGAATGGCTTATCTACTACGTACCGACATTGTTTCAGATCTCGGTTCTAGTTGAGCTGCTGCCACTGTCTGGAGTACCTGATGGATCATTGATAGCTGCTGTGTCCGTCCTTCCACAAAACCTCACAAGTACAAAGCCCCGGCTCTGCGTTAAGCCGTTGGTCTCTGAAGGCAAGGGAAAAAAGGGAAAGAGTTGAAGCTGCAAAGAGGGGCAAGAAGTTGGTGAAATAGGAAGGTAGAGAATTAGGAGGGGAAAGTGTGGACTGGTATTAGATTTGTGAGAGGTACTTCAGTTTTGGGTTGATTTAGAACGAATTGGGTCCGATGCAAGTCTCAAGCTTGTTGTCGGATCTTGGGGATGGGTCTCCGTCTTGTGTTTAGAGTTAGACTTAAGACTTTAGATATGTTGTGTCATTTGCCTAATATGGGCCTATTACTATTTACTGGTTAGTACTTACAAGTTAAGACATAATAATCTACTAAATTGCAAAGAGGGTTTGGTTTAGTGGTATTATCGTCGATTTTCAATAAACAAATTTCAAATTTGAATTGCAGGGTGGCTTTCTTCTCCTTGCTCGTCGCCAGCCCCCTTTAGCTTGCATTTACAGCTAGGGGTGTCCATTCGGGTTCGGTGTTTCGGGTTTACCCGAAACCGACCCGATTATATACATTTTCAGTTTTTCGGGTTTGGGTTTGTTTCGGGTTTTGGGTTTTTCGGTTTCGGGTTCGGTTTTGCTTATCGGTTTTTCGGGTTCCGACTAAAAACTTCCAATGAATATAACTCAACCCGTATTCTTAGGCGTTCGGATTTTAGGGTTTCGATTTTGCTTTAACCGAACCCGAATCCGATAAGAAATTTTCGGATTTTGGATAACCGGAACCCGCAAGTCCTTATCGGGTTCGGGTTCGATTTTAGTGGTTTTCGGTTTTGGGTTTTTTTGGGTTTTGGTTCGGGTAACCGAACGCGACCCGAACTGACACCCCTATTTACAGCCTCTGTTATGAGAAGTCGTGTGATAGAAGATGTATACCTGTGTTGAGTACTAACGAGAACTAAAGTTGTCCTTCACTAAAAGAAAAAGGAAGCTACTGAATTGGTAGTGTGAGCAACAATTTGAGTCACAAGTAGAATCGATAGTTAGATAAAATCCGGTATCATTTGATTCTAGCAACTCTCTTAACAAGAAAGAAATTCCTAGAGAGAAATAAATTTTTGGAACAGACCAAATGCAGTTTAAATAAATCCCATTCAGATTTCAGATCCTCGTCTTACTGTTTTTGACGTGAATCTATTATGTTCCCAAATTCAATCTGATTTTGTGAATCTCAGTGGTACTACCAACGTAACCTTGGGTTGGAGCGATGGGCTCAAACAACGATCGAGTCGGTTGGTCGCCGGTGAAGTCTACAAACCCACATGGCACTAAACTGAAGAATCCACACAAACCAACACATGTCCCTTCTTCCCCCTTGTTGCTGCTGTGTTGGTTTTCATTCACAAAGACAAAAAAAAGGAAGAGCACACGAGAATAAGGCTCCGTCTCCGTGCGGCTGACTTTGTCTTGTTGCCACCTGTGCACGTGCGGACGACATTCAATTCCAATTTTTGTCCCACGCGCGTTGCCGACGACCGGCGCTGTCCTCCCTGCGAAGTAAGTTAACTAGTTAAGTAAGTAGATAGAAGAAGTTAACGAAAACCCCCGTGGTTGCCGAAACTATAATTAGAATGTTTAAAATTATTCTCTGATTAAATGCATATACTGAAAAGAGTTTATTATTTTGTCCTATTTTTCTGGTGTTTCTACGAACCAACATAAGCTTCAATTTATCATATTACAAAATTGCAATCACCACGTATAGCTTTGAATTCGACACCAACAAATTAAAGAGCAAGTGACAAATTCATCATCAAGCGAGTTGCTGTAGATTTGACTTGATTCCATCCTTACGGTCAAGGATGTGGGCTGGTTATTATTATTATATTATTATTATTATTATTATTATTATTATTATTATGTGGTTTTAAGTTTTCACAAGTTTGAAAGAGTGTTTACAAGTTTCGTTGATCATAAGCACATTAAAGTGTGACCACCATAGGTTAAATCACATAATAATTAGCTTAAATCCATGTGCATGTAGATAAACAAACAATGTTCGGATAAACAAACAATTAAAACAACCAGATTAGATAATGTTGGATGGAAAAAGGTGAAATGAGATTGGAATATAATTCTACGTGAATAATAGTTAAGTCAACATGGGAAAAACGAACCGTAAAGAAAGCAGAATGGCCATGAAAATTATGAGAAAGTACGTAAATCATCGTCAAATTATTACTCTGAAAATTCATGCATACTCTAACAGATAGCTAGCTGGTCAAATGCACATTAGCGCGTATCTATCTCGATTCGTATCTCGTCAACTATCACTCTCTACTCTCGACCAATTAAGCTATTTCATCAACTAATTAACTTGAATCTCTACTTTGGAGATAAATAACATTGTCAGATTCTTCCAAATAAATAGCTAGTAATTATATACATCCTGAAACGTATCCAACTCGATTTGTATATCGTCAACTACCACTCTATACCCTCAACCAATTAAGCTAATCCCCTCAATCTTTATCCATCCACCCCCTCTGTAAACATTTAGAAACTTACTCACCTCGAAATGAAATCTGTATCAAGCTGGAAAAAAAAGCTCAACTAATAAACTTATTAGAAACAGTTTTATCACCTCTCTGTCTTTACTCCTTTCTTTTCCCCAACTCATAAGTCAATTACCAAAAAAAAAACAAAATAACAACCAACCACACAAATATGACGTTGGCCGACGTAACAATTTCCCCCCAATCCACCGCACCAGTCCACACACCCGGACTCCAACAAGGAAAAGGATAAGAAAGAGGTTGGTTTGGCAACGTGGAATAAGCCAATTGGTTGACGACTATGGCGGGCCCCGTCGTTGCATCCTTCCATTCCATTTCCGTTTTGGGAACAGAATTCGCGGGAATGCTGACGTGTCCCCAATCACCCGCCTTAATTCCCCCTCCACACACTTATATATATTTATAAAAAAATCCACCCCCTAAATCAACGACTTCCACATAAATCTCTCACACTACCAAAGCAGAGCAACAACAACAGAAAAGAAAAAAGAAAAAAAAAAAGAAACAAATCCTCCAATTCCAATTCCCTTCCACCCAAAAATTTATTGTGGTTTCCCCAATTTCTTCATCCTCCTCCACACAGTCAAGAACCAAACAAACAAAGAAGGAAGAATCGAAATCAAGAAAATCGGATTCTTACGCAGAAAGGAAAGGAAAGGGAAGAAGATGGGATTGTCGTCGGAGACGGTATGCAAGAAGCACCCGGGGCACGAGGAGAAGCGAGGGGTCTGCCCTTCCTGCCTAAGCGATCGCCTCTTCCACCTCAACCACGCCGCCGTCAGGGGTAAACCAGCCGCCGTTCATTCCTCTGCTGCTGCCGCTGCCGCCTCCTCTTCTTCCTCGAGTCACGATGATTACCACGACACCGTTGACAACAACAAGCCGCGGAAGGCGGCGGCGGAAGAGGAGGAGGAGGGGAAGCGCGTGGGACACACGCACCGCCGGAACGCGTCGTCTACCGAGATAGGGACCGTGTCGATGAGGGTGGGGCCACCGGCCGCGGTGTTGTCGTCGTCGAGGGGCGGCAGCGCGGGGTTGAAGAAGTCCCGTTCGGTGGCGGCTTCGTACTCGTTCGCTCCTCCGCCGCCGAAGGCGATCAGCCGCCGCGTTGACGTGGTCGTCCGCGGCGGCGGCGGCGGTGGGGAGAAGGTGTTTAGTGATTATTATTATGGGAATAACAACAGGAGCGGCGGCGGCGGCGGAGGGAGTGATTATAATGGGTACGGATCAGGAGGGAAGAAGAAGAAAGGGTTCTGGACGAAGCTGCTGCACCTGCACCTCAAGGGGAAGAACAAGGAGGCGTTGATGCATCATCATCGTCCTGCCATGGAGGGAAGAGTCTGTTGATCTTTCTTCATCTCTCTCATAAAAAATAATTATGGGCTCGATCGATCGATCGATCGTTTTCCTCTGGTTTGCGTAATAGTAATTAATTGATTCAACAGTGCTTGTTACTTGAAAAATTTTAATAGTAATAATCCAATTATGATGCTTCTCAGTCTAATTGTGTCTGTCTGGTGTAAATATTTTTGCTTTCCGTGTTCTGTTTGAACATCTGTTAGGTTGATTGTTGCTTTTTTTCTGTATCTATATATATACACACTATATCATCTTTGTGATTCAGACAACTAGGAACTTGGGTTTGGAAATTTGATTTTTCTTTTATTGTTTTTTTAGGATGTCACTCAAACATGTCCACTTTTTTTTTTATCAAGAGATATCGATAGCGCTTTGGGTATATAGACGCGTTGAGCACTTTTAATTCATACTTCTTACAAAAAAAACTTCTAAAATTTATCCAAAACACTTTTTTTTAAGGTAAAGTCGGACTTCTTACTTATGAATCATGGATCTCTCTCCATATTTGTAGAATTTGCCTAGAATGTTACGATATATAACTGTGTAGCAAATGATAGGCAAAAATTTGTCAATTTCAATACGAAAAAAAAAAGGATGATACCACCAAAGTGAGATATTATTAGTAAATAGTTATGAATGGTTTAGTGGGAATCGTTAATATTACCAAATTTGTGTGGGGAGTAGATTGAGTGTGAGGTTAACGTTTAATCCAAATATAAGTTCCAAGCAAGCGAATGAATGAAGAAACAGGAAAGAAGGTGTGCGTAGCTAGCTTGCAAGTCAACTAGAAGACAGGACAGGAGGGAGAGTTTTCGTTTGCAAATGTTGGTTGAGGTGTTGGTGGTCCAATTCTTTTGACTTGAGGGTTGCGGGCGGCTAATACTAATACTTCTCTTGTCAAAAAAATAATACTAATACTTCAATCTCGTTTCGTCCCGTCCATTCAATCCCCCACGTTCGCTGTCTTTCCCTTTGGCCTTTTCTTTCTAGGCAGCAATTTGGGGTTCCTAATGAAATAAAATAAAAGAAAGTCACATCTTCCCATTCTAACCACCCGTGCGGAACTCGGCGGGATCGGTTTAGGATAGGGTGCATGATGCACATTTACGGGATGAGAATATATGGGGTTCTTATTTTCTATCCAAAATACATTTGTATAGTCAAAACTTTCGCGTGCGTTTGTGACAATAATAGCCAATTTTAGAAAAATACCACTTATAGCCAGAATTTTGAAAGTTTCATGACAAATATAGCCATTTTCGCTACAAACTTTGACGGTGAGTTAGGTTAACATTAGGCTGACTAGGATGTCAAATCATCACACACGTCAACGACAACTCATCCGTTGAAGACACCTAGAAGCCACGTGTTATTTTAATTAAAAATTGAAATGAATTTTTTTTTATTTTTATTTAATCACAAAATTGAATTAAAAAAAATCTGGCAATCCCTTTTACAAATCTCGCTGGTTTTGAAGCTTCCAGAATCAAACAAAAATTGATTTTTCCTCTCATCCCCTTCATAATCGAAGAACTTCCTGCTACACAATCATCGCCAGCTTCAACCCGCATCATCATCATCTTGATTCTTGTCTTCATCTTCGTGCACTTTCACCAACTCTTGAACTATTTGGTACTCTGAATCCAGATCGATTGAAGAAAAAACATGCATATTAGGTTAATCTCATGTCTCTAACAAACAAGGGGGGAATAGAAGCAGAGATCAGGAAGACTCGGGCCGGCGAGGGATTTGGGATTTCCGCCCCATAACAGATCTGTTCAGATATGCTAGTCTGTTGTCGGTCTGCTGCTCTCCAATAAGGCAATAACAGACGCCAACAACTGGAAACAGAGAGGTGGAGTTCACCGACCGCAATCCACTGTCGTCGCTGCTTCCGTCCACTGCGAACTGCATTCCTCTTCTCCACTTTTCCAAATCTACCGAAAAAGCAGTGTCGCCGCCACACCTGCTACCCTTACTCTGCCTCTATGCTTCACTGCCACGATTAGCCGAAATTGCGAGGAGAAAGTAGTCTTGGCCCGCTTCCATTTTTGGTGAGGCGACTTTGATGTGTGGCTTCTGCGGATACTAGATCTGCACCTGATTGTTTCGTTCTCGATCTCGAAACGGCTGGAATCCAGTCCTTCCTCAAAGCACGAACGAAGCGCCGCAGGGAACCCTGGTTCTGGGTTTCGATTCATGTATTGAAGGCTCGACTGATGGCGGATTGAACGAAGCCGTCGCAGTGGAGTAGAGAAGAAGAAGTAGAAGCCAACACCGCCACAAATGCTAGCTTCTTGTTTTTTTGCCCTAGTCGCCGATTCCGCAATCGGCAGTAGCGATGCTGAAACTCTTCCTCAAGCCGATCACGGGCCCCTGCTCTTCCCCTGCTCTCGTCTCCTGTGAACACCGCCAAGCTGCAGTGAGATTCCCCATTCAGTCCGGTAAGCTTAGCACCAGAGTAGATGTTTAGATCCATCTGCTGGTCGGGAACTCCGTCGTGGGCGAGAGAGTTTTAGATTGCTCGGAGCTCCGGCGCATTTGAGTGATTGTGGGTTGTAGTGTCGGCAAGAGTGGTTTGCGGTAGGGATTGAGATTTGGGGGCACGGGTGAGGGAGATGATAATGGAAGAGAGAGAAGGGGACGCACAGATTGATCTTGAAAAAATTCATTAGTTAATGTATGATCATTTTTTATTTTTTTCTCATCCACGTGGAAAGGGGTTTTTGTATTCATTCTGAGATTGTAGTTTGTATTTTTTATTTTTTTATTTAATTTACTTAAAACTTAAAGGATAAAATTTAATGATTTTCCACCTGGCATTAAAATTGAATAAAATATGTCACGTCAATGGTTGTTGTTAGTCCAGTCAGACTGTTAGATGACATCGTTAAAGTATTGGACGGAAGTGGCTATATTTGGTATTTCTCCAAAAGTGGCTATTATTGTGACAAACGCGAAAGTTATGGCTATGAAAATGTATTTTGCCTATTTTGTATAGCTTTCTTAATCGATTTATATTTTCATCCTTTTGATTCGAATTTTCATTTTTTTACAGATAGAATGGGTTCGTTGTAGGCGACAAAATGATATGTATTTTCGATGTTCATATCACTCTTTACCACTTTGGTACCACCTTCGTTTTTAAACCGAATTTCGAATAATTTTGTTCAGACGGAACGAGTTCATCGTGATCTGTTGGATCTATTAATTTTGGAAGGAAAAAATTCCAGCACCAAATATACCACTTTATACCACCATGGTATAAGGTGGTAACTGGTGGTAGACGATGATGAAATATGGTAAATGACCGTTAGTATATTCCTACTATCATGTATAGATTCATTCTACACTATTGTATATTCATACCACAAAGGAACATTTCCATATCACGTTGTATAATCATATGTGCATATATACCAAGTAGTACCACATGTATGGGCTGGTAATAAAAGTCTCATTTTTTTTTTGCTCCAAAATATATCAAAGTGGATTTCATTTTCAAGAGCACAATTAATTTGATTTTTCTATGTAAAATATTTTTCATTTCAACTTAAAATGAAAGAGACATAGCTTGTTAAAATTTATTGCGAAAAAAATTAGAAGTTTTCCATAAATGATAAGAAGTATAGGGTTATGCAAGAAAAAATCCCAAAGTACACATGTTCTTAAAAAAATTCCCAAAATACATAAGTTATAAAAAATTTTCCAAAACTACACATGTTTGGTATTCACCGTTTTTGACAAACGCAGTGAAGGCTATCACCGCGTTTGACAAGCACGGTGAATAATTCACCATTTTAAATTAAAACGGTGAAGTATTCACCGTTTTTCTCTAAAACGGTGAACCAATCACCGCCTTAAATGAAAACGGTGAAGATATCATCGTTTTAGTAGGAAACGGTGAATATATCATCGTTTTAGGGCAAAACGGTGAATACCTTCACCGTTCTAGGTTAAAACGGTGAGTATTAGGCACGTTTTCAACCCCTGTTAGGTGAAAATTAGGTATGAGCTACCTAATGTTCACCGTTTGAGACAAATGCGGTGATGGTGTTCACTGTGTTTGACAAAAACGGTGAACATTAGGCAGATTTTCCTATAAATACCAGCCCACCAGCAATTATAAAAACAAAACCACTCCCCCCTCTTCAAATTTCAGCAACCAAAACCGAGCATAATACACAGGCGAGGAATTTTCGGTATGATTTATTTTTCATATTATAGGTTAATGATGGGTATTTAGTAGTTATAGTATGATTTAATTTTCGTATTATAGCGTAATGATGTTTTTAGTAGTTATATTGTTATGTTATTATGAATTACTTATCGTAGCAATTGTAGTACTTAATTTTTGAATTTATGATGTTGTTAGTTAGTTGAAGTTATGTTACGTTAGTTATGAGATGGAGTAATATTAGTCGTACAATATGGTTTTGGTTAATTTTACTGTCTTTAAACTAATATTTTAACTTATTGTAAATTGTAGATATGGGTAAATTCAAGAAGTTTTGGCTTATTATTCGGTGGAATGGAAGGGTGACAAACTCTGACATAGGGATTGATTATGAGAACGGTGAATCCACTATGCTAAAAATTGAGTCGCGATTCAATTTTCAAGAACTCCGTGATATTTGTGCAGACGGGGTTTGTACGAGCGGACAGACGAGACTTGGCAAAATTAGTTACCGGTATCCAGACATGAGTGCTGGCGGGGTCGTGTACCAAGAAGTTGTCATAAACGATGATGACGCGGTTACGATGATGTTGGAGTTCCTAAGCGATAACGGGATGCGGCTTGCAGAGGTGTATGTTGAGATCGAGGCGGTCGGTGAAACTCATTCTCACCAGTATTCTTATGATGATGGTGTTGCAGGAGGGTATGGATGGGGTGGTAGTTCGAGCAACTACAAAGGAGGTGGTTATACAGGAGGTTATGGAGAGGGTGATAGTTCAATCAACTACGGTGGAGGTAGTAGTGCAGGATGGGTGCCGTCGGAAGAATACTCGCAACAGGATCAACCTGCCGATGGCGTTCAATGGCCTGCTTGGGGGCCTGAGTGGGATGAAATCGAGAATACCATTCGAGCAGGGCGTACTTCACATGAGCGAGAAGACGATGGTGGTGATGGTGATCATGTTAATCCTTCTGGGCTGAGCTATCCAATTGACTCAAGCGACGAGGATAGTGAGGAAGATTTGAGATCAGTGAGCGAGGAGGAAGATACTGATGATAACGACGACGAGGCGACATTTCGTGAGGCACCCACGCCATACTACACACAAGTTCTAACTCAATTTCTACATAGTCAGAATAATGCCCCCGACTTTGTCCCTATGCCAGTGTATAATCCGACGACCGATTTGGAGGTGGCTATGACGTTCTCATCGAAAGACGCTGTGCAGGATGTCTTAACCGAAGAGGCCTTGAGGCGCAACTTCGAGTGGAAGGTAAAATATTCTGACAGTAAATAATTACATGTCATATGCAAGAATGATGCAGAGGGTTGTACGTGGCAACTGCGGGCTACAAATATGAAGAGAAAGGGTGCCTGGGTGATTCGAAAAGTTGAGACCAACCACACTTGCTCCTCGTCCATACGTTCCTAGGATCATAGGCATCTTAAAGCAAAGAAAATTGGGAGACTATTAAACACCTTATCGAAGCACAACCAGATATCAAAGTCAAAGCTATCATGGCCGAGGTGAAGGATCGACATTCTTACACGATAAGGTGCAAAAAAGCATGGCATGGAAAGCAGAAAGCCATGGCTGAGGTGTATGGTGATTGGGAGGATTTGTATGCTTTACTCCCTAGACTTATGGCCGGAAGGTGGAACGTATGGGTTTCGGGACGCCATCGCTCCGCCATTGCCGTAAGCAGATCGTTGTCGATTTCGATCCGCATGAAATGGTGCAACATACCCAACCCGGTCCTCTCTATATAGGGCGCCAACCGTGGATGCCAAGGGGGAAAGTTTGTGGTCCCTTTATGAACGACGGGAATAAGTGATTCCTTCAAAAAAAAAATAGGAAAAACATCAATTTGTTAGTTTAAATAAAGCAAAATAAAACCTTGGAAAACAACAAAATAAAGCAAATAAATCATAAAATTACCGGATTGTTATCCCAAATAGCACGGGAGCGATGAGCTTCTTGATCGGTTAAGAGTCTCATATCTCTTGGCCCATAATGGATATACAATCGAGGATCGTATATCTCGGCACCCATCTATAAAAAAAGTAATGAAATCAGAGATTGTTTTGATAAAAAAAATCACAAAATCAAATTGTTACGATTAAAAATAAGAACACAAAAAAAAACCTACACGAAAAGCCTCTTCGTCCATTTTTTGGCAGAAGCCGGACAGAGGTTCGACGGGTTCAGGTTTGTAAGGGACGGGACCTTAGCGGGACGGGGGCTTTAGGGTCAAACTCTACTAATTCTTTCTGATGTGGAAGATCGGATTTATCCGCAACCACAGAGCATACTTAGAACGAGACTAGAGCGGATAAATTGAGGGAGAAAGAAGAATAAGTTGAGGTGTGATTTGTAAGTGAGGGAAGGGTCTATTTATAGTGTTTGGAAGGGGGGGAAGGGATCTGACGAATTTAATTTCTGGCCGCCTTCACCGCGTTTGTGGAACGCGGTGAAACGCGGTGAATACACCGCGTTTGTGGAACGCGGTGAATACACCGCGGAGGTCAAAGGCGGTGATGGGGGCGACGTGGACCAGCTGTGAGGCGTCGGATCTGGGAAGAAAACCACGATCCGCGCCTCACCGCATCTGACGGCCACAGTGAAATATTTACTGTTTTTGACAAACGCGGTGATAGCCTTCACTGCGTTTGTCAAAAACGATGAATGCCAAACATGTGTAGTTTTGGAAAAAAAAATTATACATGTATTTTGGAAATATTTTTTAAGAACTAGTGTACTTTAGGATTTTTTCCGGGTTATGCACTCATAAGTTATGCACTATTTCCATTTGGGATATGGAAATTAGATGGATGGCCTACCTGCTAGATTTTATAGTAATGATTAGAAGTGATAATTTTGTATCTAATCTACCAATCCAATCCATTCACTTAAATATCAACTACTCCAATTTATTTAAATCATGTTCATTATATCCAAATTAAATTGTATTGGTTTATTAAAAATTTTCAATTAGATTGGTGGATTCATGGATGGGTGACAAATTCCAGGTTAGCACCTATATTTTTATATTTTACAATGTGATACCTAATAACAGAAATTAGCATTGAAAAATTAGGTTTTGGTACATGCACTTTTTTATTATGACATTATACTACCAAAAATTATGTTTTCGTACCTGCACATTATATTACATATTGGGTTCATGATCCAATCCACCAATCCATTTTATCCAATTCACAAATTCATTAATCTCAATCCCTAATATATATATATTTTTTTCTTTATCAGTATATACCATATATCAAATTATTTCTCTTCAAAATTATAAATCAAATATACTAACGCAAATACTTCTCTCCGAGTAGCTCCACAAACCATTTTCATAAAACAAATAATGGTGTCAACACTTATGAAAAATAAATGGGCAAAAATCTCAAGTATAATAATAACAAACTAAATAAAAATGTAGTGCCTAAGAATTACATTAACAAACTAAAGCAATAAACTGAAACAAGGGATGACTAAACAACTCATAAACATACTACAGGTAATAAAATGAGCGAGTTGTCAAATGGCGAGGGAATGGGTTATATATAATCAAATGACCATCTTGTATTGCTGAGATAGGATAGTAGTGAGTGGGAGAATCTAAATAGAAGGGATGAAATACATACTAACTTATATTTTGATATTAATCGGTGTGTCGATATATACACATCTCAATTATGTAATTTCTAAACCAAATAACACTTTGAAATTGGATCCAATCTCATGAACTAATATGTATATATAGGTTATCTCGTCAAATTAATCATGTCTGGGACCAATTTGCAACAACTTATCCTAACCTGGTTCTTAACAATTTCTGTCAGCCGTAAACCTTAACGTGGTTCCAGTTACAAGGAAAGCTGGTCTATAAGTTTTAAACTTTTGTGATTCACGGTCATATGTGCAGCAGCGGGACTAAGAGAAGCTTAATGACAAACGAAAAGAGGCTTCCAGTCCATTTGAGATTCTATGAAAAAGGATGGCCATGGCAATTGTGGAATGTTAGACGTCAAGAAATGGAGAACTATATGCTCTTACTATGTATGGGAGGTATATCTATCGAGTTCAGACTCTGGCAGACAACAATCTTTGTTAACATTTGCTGCAATAACATAATACAACTGTATATAACGTTCGCCACGTCCCTGTTTCCAAAGGCCATAGCTTTGGCAATCACACCCCAAAACTTGGCTCTGCCTTGTACACCAAATTCAATTCAACAATGGTGCACTGCTGAAAAGCAAATTCCTATATCCTATTTCTGCAGCTTCTTTCTCTACCAATTTTTCGCCCCGGCTTCCCGAGGACACAGATATTCAGCCACCATACAGCCTACAGGGGCACATCAGTGTGAAAGGAAAAACAATTTGTGTATGTATTAGTTTTGATGAGTCACCTTTTTATCTGTACACAGAATATTGGTTGCTACAGCGAATTCGGCTTCCATGGATTTCGCAATCATTTGGTGGCATCATCATCGTCACTCAGACTTCCAGGATCATTAATGGACGGTTGTTTTAGTCTCTGGAATATCTCGTCGAGGCTCTCGTGCGATGAATCGTGGGAGATGGGCTTTGAAGGTTCCAGCGTCTGCCTTAAAGGAATAAACCTCTTCGCTTCTATATTTGCTTTGAAGGTTTGAAACCCGTTCTTCATCGACTCCCACCTAGCAGTCAGACCAGATGAAGATGACGACATCCCCCCTCGAGTTGTGTTGTCGGAATCTGAGTTGCCTGCATCAAGCAATGACACCTTAGCGGAAGCTATGTTCTTCTCCACCGGCCTCAGGTTGGAAAGTCTACTCTGCTGTCTAACCGCAGCATACTTACTGCTAAAAGCTTCTCTGCTCGGATTGGATCGACGAGTCTCTTCCTTTGAAACTCTACTCGACGAACTTCCCCCTTTGTCATCGGAGATCAAATTGCTTGTAGACTTCATCTCCACCGTTGTCTTATCCTGCAGTTTTTTCACTTCCCAAAGTTAAAAACCAAAAAAAAAAAAAGTAGCTGCAGTGGAGAAATTCTGATCAGATGATATCTTAGAGAAAAACAGTGAACGTGTCTGTTCTCTTGCAAAAATAAAATAAGTGAATTGTTTTAAGTTTTAGTAGAAGTGACAAAAATATGTTTGGTTGGTTTTTGAAACTTAGTTTACGGGATGATGGTAAGTCTTTTTTTTTTTTTTTTCTTTTTCGAGTTAAACAAAGTTAAACTGATATATGAGCATGAAGCACGATTAACATCTAAGTTAAGTTGGTCACCATATTGTTGCTGGCAGACTCAACATCCACACCGTTAAAGTTTCTCGCTAGAGGGACAACATGCTCACCGACTCTCTGTCCTTGTTCTAGCCATAATCTTTCTGCAAAAACTCAAGACTGTCAGTTTCTAAAGATACAGTCAAAAAGATATAGGAAAGATTGAGTTGGGTTCTTAATTCTCTAAAAGAGTGACATATCAGCACTCACCCTTCTGAAGGATAATTAGCCCCGAAGGATCAAAGCCATCTGTATCATCTACCTCTGTTTGAAACCTAAACCTCTTCCAATTCCCAAAGAAACCTAGTAAACGGTCGAAAAAATTGCTTGCGACCAGCAGAGTGTAGAGAACCATGAAAAGTGGATAGATTCTGTTGAAGCTGACTCCAAAAAAGGGAACAGCATCATTAATCTTCCCCATTCTCTGCAATCATATCGTGACACTAGACCAATGTTAGTATGTACGTAAAGCTTAAGTACAAAGTGAGAAAGAGCTGAGGTATCACTCTTCTATAGGCATACAAAGATCATAAAGCTCATTAAGAAGGCTCTAGCTGGAGAAGATTAAAAGGGCTATGAACTAAGATTTTTAGACAACTTATCACAGCAAGCAGAAAAGTTTACTAAGATTCATGAATTTAAAAAAAGTAACCATGTTCGAGAAGCAAGGAACCAGCTATCGACGGTACAGTGCAAAATTTCAGCCAATTGTATCATAAAAAATACCTTTGTGGTCCAATTAGCAAAGTTCAAAACAAGACTCCTAATCTTCTCCGAATACAAGGTAAATTATAAAACAATTCCACTAGTGTCATTCGACTTTCAGCAAGCTTAAGATACTCGTCAACTTTTATAGGATTGGACAATGAGGAATTACCTGTTCAAATATGGTATCCTTATCACCGAGATTAATGAGGTTAAGATAGTTGTATGAAATTGGAGGAGCATATCGAGCAACCATCCTGACGAATGTGTAGATTGAAACAATTAAATACATAAGAAAATCAAAGAACTACTCGATTTCAAAAGAACATCTGGAGAATTGGACAGCATAAACTAGTATAGCTTTGAGAAACACTCACGAGCATATCATAAGCAAGCTCACTGAACTTGTTTGCCTGGGAGTTAGTGAGTAGAACATCAACATTCCAACTTTGAATAATGAATAATATGTGCAGATGCACATATACATCAAAGGCACAAGAACTGAGACCTGGACAAAAGTTGAACAAAGTAACATAAGAAACAGTTTTGTAGAACTGAATCTCCATAGCCACCTTAATGTAGTTTATCAAAGCAAAAAAAAAGTGTACCTGTACAAAAAGTTCTTGTCGTCCTACAGATTTGATAAGAAGAGAAAAAAGTGACAAATCAACACCAGTGATTACAAGTGTTGCCTCAGCTAAGAGAATTGCAGCTGACATGGTGCCAAGTATAATAGCCAAGAGCTTTTCAAGTTGCTTCCTCAGGATGCATCTCCAAAGAAATTCTGGATTCATATAAACATGAAACATAAAAATACTTAATGAAACCAAAATCAAGCATAAGGGTATCCATTCAGGAACTTTGCTTTGGACATCAAACTCCGAATGAAGCACCCAGCAAGGGTGAAACCTACAGTGTGAAGAGTGCCTAGAATCGACATGACTAATATAAGTAACTTTGTAGAAGTTTCCAAGACACTGCTTTATAAGAACTTATTCCAGCAGGAGCTTGATGTTGGTTAGTACTACGAGTTGCCAGAAAATTTTACCCTAACTCCATTAGAAGTACTGAAATTAGTTGGCTAGGCATGGATAGTTACAGGCAATGAATGTGTCTACGGCATGAAGGAGAAATAGCTAATCCTAGGGGAAAACAAAGATGGCTTTCCTCAATGTGAATTTGACACTGATAGTTCTGCAAGCCAAGAAATGTCACAGCAAAATGCTGCAGTACAACTCCCTAAATCAATTGCAACTCCATGTACGTCGCTGGTAGGATTATCATGGACTATCCTCATCCACAGTAGAAACCAATTTCATCATAACTAAATAGGAGATTAAAACACGTTAAGGACCTCTAATCCCCCATTGAGAACACTATGTTAGTATTTTCTTCCAGCAAATTCATATGCCAACTCAAATTCTTTGCCACCTTTATTACAGTTATCTGGTGGAGTAAGTCAAAACCTAAATGACAATAGTACATGCAAAAGTGGTACTGACCAAGGGTATCCACCAGTGAACCCAGTTTCCCACTTCTAGCAGGTCTGAAGCTGGACATGTATTTCCTGGTAATTCATCCATGGGATTTTAGAGAAAGAAACTTGAAATTGATTATTGAAGAATTCCTCAAGTAAAGAACTTAAGGTCATAAAAGAGGCCCACCATCCAGTTGAATTTCTCCGTTCATAGTTTTTAATTGTATCTTCGAGTTCAAGGGCTTCCAAGACAAACGTCATGTATTCACTACAAAACAAAAAGAATTAGATTCTTACAGTACACCACTAAACAAATAAATCCAACTGGATTCAAAAGTTAACTCTACATTTTGGATATAAATTTGAACAGTAAAACAACTAGCCAATTCTTGGGACGTATCAAAGTACGTTAGCAAGAAACCGTTAAGCTGTTTCGTAAGAATATTAGGGGTCTTCAATCTTTACCTTGTATGAAGATTTTTTTTTTTATCATTGAGCAAGTAAATTACCAAGGATATTCAACATTT